GGAAAGAGGCGAAAGTATTATTTTGGGCATAAAGTTAGCTGATAATAATGTTAGTGGTAATACTGATAGCTAAAATTTACTAAATGCCGACCGTACGCTCATTCCATCTTTACAGCCACCCTGTGATATGGATGCTGTTACAACCCCGTTGTCAAAAGGCTAATCTGAAGCTTGGTAAACAGTGAAGTCAACCTCCACACCCGACCTTCTGTGCCCTTAAGTGCTACACTGTACAGCCCCTAAGACACTACAACTGCTAGCAAATCTGAGCGTCGACAATCCCACTGTGCTAAGGGTTTTCCCTCAGGTTACAGGAATTATTTTACACGAACGAAGCAAAATAAACCTTTTTGTGTGCTAAACAGAACATGTGAATTTCTTGTTAAAGAAAGTCATCACCCTGAAACGGGCAAGAGTTGCCCCAGGACACCCATCACAGAGTGTGTAAACTCTAAAAATATACAAAAAGATAAATTCAAAGATTAAAATCAATCAAATGGTCATAAAGTTTACAAATACTTTAAAATTCAATGAAATCGTTTTTGAAAATGACTACGCTTTAAGACTAACATGGTTAGTTGGCATTTAGCTGACTCATTTATCTTTAGAAAAAGAAAACGAATAAAACCACTTCCATTTCTAAAGATTCTGTGGGAAATTCATTCCCTCACCTTGATAGGTCTCTGCAGGAAACATCAGGGGTACTTCTCATGGCTGCCCACGTGCAAAAGAGTCCCCTGGCACAGGGAGCTTATGTCAGCACCCCCGTTCTCCTACTGAGGCACAAAAACCACTGTCGGATGGTGGGATGGAAAGAATCCCTTAATTCTGCCAACTTAGTCCAGAATGTACAGCTTTGAAGACTATAGGAGTAGCATTAGAATCAACTCTTTACATAAAGTAGCATGAAAATAGAAGGATGTGTTTTGATGGCCATATTTTAATACGGAACATTGGACACCTCCGCTTACTTGGTCACATTCTCTTTGCTGGTGGAACATTTCCACGCGGCCCCTGTGACAGCGGCCAGCCGTTCCTTATTGTCAGCGTTACTGAGGAGAGAAGCCAGGGCTCTGAGTCCTCCATGCAGCCTAACCAGCTCGCGGGTTTCCTCATCTTCGGCACACTACACAAAAGCCAAATCAGACGCTGGTGTTGATCAAGGCGTATCAAGCTTTCAGTGACTGCTAAAGAGGCTGCCATTCTAGTAGCTAGGAAACTTCTTTTCAGAGAGTATCATTTTCTGAAGGACGCTTCAAGTAAAATATAATTCTTGTCTCTATACTGGCAGCTATCTGACAGGACCGCTCTTT